AATTGTCTGGACCTCTGAGCCAGATGACCCCCAAGTTGAAAGGTCAGTGCACTTAGTGGACAGGGACCCAAGGCATCCTTGTGAAGCTCCAGCCTGCACGCTGCCATGTGGGAGGGGCTCTCGCTTTCATTCCAGAGGCAGGAATCTGCCAGCTGTGGTGCTACCCCCCCTCCTCCCACCAGCTTCTAAGACAATGGGAAATCCCACCCACATGTGGAAACTTAACCACATCCAGCATTTGAGAGGAACCAGTAGGGCAGGGGGTTCACCCTGTGACCCTGTCACCAGGGGACACTGGGCCATGTCTGAGGACCCCCGTGGTGGGTCCACAATTCTCACTAGAACGTCAGCTCTGTGCAAGCCAGGGCCTTTGGTGGTCCTGGTCACTGCTGTTTCCCCAGAACCTGGCCCAGGCAGATGTGGAAGTCCTTGCTCGAGGAATGAATGAAACCCTTGGGGGTGGGGGGCGGTCACCATGTGCCTGGCCAGGCCAAGCACAACTACCCAGGTGACTGTGCCCAAAGGGGACACTGGGCAGATTCCATACGCCCAAGGGGGCTTCTGAGGGCTGGTGTCATTTATGAGAGTCCCAAAGGAGGGGCTGCATGGGGCTGGCCTGGGGGAGGCCTCACATGGTCAGACCTCCAGCCACTACAAGACCCAGTCTTTGGGGGGTGGGAGAGCCCCCCGACCTTGCCTCTTTGCTTCCCTGGTGCAGCCTCCTCTGCTCCAGCCACTGGGCTGTGCCCGGGTACAGGGTAGGTTTGTGGGGGTGCAGCCCCTCAAGACTCCCAAGGTCAAACAGCCCTGCTTTCTGCCTCCATCCTAAACCCAACTAAAGGAGTTGGCTGGCAAATACTGGTCCCAACCTGCAGAGGCTCCAGGTCTGCCAGGTAGGGCTCCACCAGGATAGGGTGACCATGGGACTCTTGGTGCTGAACCAGAATGTCCCAGAGAAGAGACACAGAATGATCACAGGCTCCAAAATGGGCTTAAGATATCCTGGGCGTCCACCTGCACCCACCTTCATCTCCAGCCCCATCTGGCTCGTGGCCGGGGCAGAACCCATGGACCTCCTCTGCCGCCTAGTGGCCACCAGAGAGAACAGCAGTCCTCTGGCCAATGTCACCCAGCCTGAAGCCCCTGAAGCAAACCCCACCAGCCCCTGGCATCTGCAGAAATTCAGAGAAGCAGACAGAAACCTTGGATGTTGCCTCCAGGACCAGCAACGGTGACCCTTGCTCAGCAACACACCCGTTTTCCAGAGACATGACTGCTCAGCAACGGGAGACCCTGACTAGTCTTGCTCGTCTCGGACCCTTAATCTGTTCCTCTACCTGACGAAGATGAGCTCTAGTGCTGTCCTCAGTACTATGGGGGAACTGAATTCGAGAACACCTGAAGACTACTAACACAGCGCTGGCAAACAGGATGTGCTCAATGAATGACTATTAAATTTTTTTAAATAATCAGGAAAAGCCTGGCATTAGCCACTTCAAGGAGTTTCCTTTGTAACCCTGCAAGATCCATCCAAAGCATGTGGTTCAGCAAATAATTCTCTCCCTCCAACAGGGTCCTCCTGCAGCACTGTGGACATTTAGGCTGGTCACTCACTGTGGGCGGGGGGGGGAGGGGTCCTGGGCACCGTGGAGAGATAAGCAGCATCCCTGCCCCCACCCACTCCATGCCAGGAGCACCTCCAGTTGTTGGCCTAATGTCCCCTTGGGCAGAATCCACCCCAATTGTATGTAAAGGGATTGAGGCCAAAGACAACACATTTGAAAGCGAAATTGACATGTTAGAGTGAAACTCAAGCTCCACACTGAGCTCAGACTCTGAAATGGTCTGTCTCCAGAGGATGTTCCCAAATCATCTTCCCTAAGAAAATTCTTGTTAGGACGTATGGAAATGTAATTAAGCGGCCGTTTTCCCTCTGCAGTGATGACACAGATTTGGGTCTGTAATAAAGATACACGAGTCCCTTTAGACCTGAGGGCCAGACTGGGCAGGTGCCCCTTTGGCACTGCTGAGATTCAGGGCCAGGTCACTGTCTGTGGGGCAGTCCTGGGCACTGTGAGGTGTTGAGTAGCCTCCCTGGTCCCACTCACTCGTTGCCAGGGGCACCCCAGTGTGACAACCACAGATGTCCCCAGACATCACTCGGTATCCCGAGGGCAGGATCGCCCCAGGTGAGACCCACTAGCAGAGCTGAATTTCACATGGCTCAAGGATGTAAGTGCAAAATATACAATCTGAATACAATGCAGATGAATTTTTTTTTTATAATCTTGAAATTGAAGACTACCTCCCAAACACAAAGGACAACACTGGTGTCCACAAAATGTTTACAATTCCCTATGGCAGAACTACCTCCCACCAAGTGGAAAGATACGCTCAGGCGCTCAGAAAAATAGTCTCAGTGCATGTGACAGACAGCGGACAGCGTCCAACAAAGAAATATAGAAAGTTGAAGCAAATGTGTATGAAGAGTTAAACAAGTCCATGAGAGAAAAGGCAAGTGAAGAACACAGCCAGGCCATTCCCAGCAGAAGCTCCCCAGAAGAAATGCTGAAGTCACGGATAACCAGGAGACCCAGAGAGACTGGCAGAGATGTGAGAACTGTAGTTGGGAGGGGAAGGACACAAGTCCTGGAGGGGAGAACACCCTGATTTAAACACACACACACCACAAACCTACATATAGGAACTTATCCCAAATGATAACCAACCAAGGCTATATACGGCATTCACACAAGGATATCCATATCAGAGCATAGCAGAGAGAGGGAGGGAGGGAAGGAGGGGGAGAGAGAGAGAGAGAGGGAGAAGGAGAGAAGTGGGGGGGAGAAAAATAAACACCCACAAAAGCCCACCAATAGGAGAGCAGTCAACTCAATTATAAAATTATTTTAAAGAAATAACTTATAATTTGTCTATAATGTTAAACCAATATCAGGAAAGATGACAGAAATCTAGGTTTATTGACAAGAAAGGTGCCCATCAAGCAAAATGAGCTCATTAAAGTGGAAATCTACTGGTCTAAATTCACGTGTGAATGTAGCTCACAGAGAGACTTGGGTTGGATGCTCACCAGATGTCAGCAATGGTCATCGCTGGTGGGGTTTTGGCGACTTTGCCTTCTTTGTACTTGTCTGCATCTCTACTTCCTTTTTACAGGAAGTCAGTCTGACACTGAAGAGAACGGATGAGCGGGGCTCGCGCTTCTCAGGCTGCGCAGACAGACAGGTCAGCCGACCACACCTCGCCCGGCCACCCCCCCCACACTCCCCCGAGCGCGCGCGGTTCGCCCACCGACTTTGTGAACAGAGTTAGCCCGTTAAATCTGCTCTGGACCTAGGCTGAGCACCAAGTCTGACGGACCCCAGGGCTCCAACCTCAGCCTTAAGGCTGTGTAGGGAAAATAGAGCCGGTCAGGCTCACTCACCTGGCCATCCAGCAGAACTATGACCCACTGGGTCAAGGGGGTGGGATGAGCGCAGGCGCCGTGCACCCTGTTTCTGTATGTACTTATATAAGTGCCTTGGCTGTGTGCCACCTTTGTCTCTGCGTAGTATAAAACCCGGCCATTGTATCAGGCAGGTGGTACCTAGAGAGTCAGTGAATAAAGTATGTCTCTTCTGCCTTCCAGCTCCTAAAGGCGTGGGCACTCCCTGCTGGGATTCCCTCACCCTTAGGGACAGCCTCTCCCTCGAACTTAGCTAAAATATATATTTTTTTAACCTTACTGAAGTGCACCTTACCTTTTGTAAAATTCACTGGCAAGAGTGCGCAAGTCTTTTCTAGTAAGTTCACCGAATTGTACGACTGTCCTCATCACGCAGGTTGGACCCTTCCCTTCATCCCATCAGATTCCTGGTGCACAGTCACACTCACCCCTTTCCCATTCCAGCCCCTGGCAACCACAAGTCACCCTCCTGTCCCTAAAAAATTTTCTAGAAATTTTATCTAAATGGAATCATTTGATGGTTGTCTTTGGAGTCTGCCTTCTTTTCCAACATTTTTTCTGACACACACTCTCTCTGTCTCTCTCTCTCACACACACACACACACACACACACACACACACACACACACTGAATGGGAACAGCCAACATTATAAAGTTATAAAGACAGCAGATCTCCCTCAGATTTATTGGAAAATGAAACACAACCCTAATCAAAATTCCATCAGAATTTTCTTTACAAACCGGAAGTGTATTCTAAAGATCTCATCAAAGACACAACTCCATTAGGGCAGCAAAACATTTAAGAAAAAGGAAGGCGCAGGGAACGGGGCCTGCGGGCCAGGCAGCCGAGCACAGCAGTTACAGTAAATACATTCGCAGGCAGCAGCACACAGCTCCTAGCACTCTCCTCATTTCCCGGTTGTTTCCTTGCCCCACCTTATAAAAGTCACTCAGAATCCTCTGGGGAATAAGACCAGAGGTAAACAAACAGATGGGAGTTAAGGGGCCAGGGCCTGGGCCTTAGCTCTGCTCCCAGCTTGTTAAAAACCAGCCTTCCTGACGCCACTGCGGTGTCTGCTGGGCGGGCAACACATTTCAGGTAGTGATCATATCCAGGGACTTAGCTCTGCTCCTGGCGATGGTTAAGGACAGTCACCCGCCACGCAAACGGGGAATGGGATGAAGAGGCTCCCTAATTAAACCTCTCTAGGATGAAGCTAACACAGCCTAAAGCAGGTGGCACAGTTATGCATGCTCTGTCCGACCCCGTCCTGGGGTGCGCCAGGAACAGCCCACGACCCCTGCTTCATGGCGACTGGCGCCGAAGAGTAGAAGATGGTCCCTGTCGCTCCCATGCGCTCTTGGCAGACAGGACAAACCCTTGGAAATGAGCAAGGCTGGGAAGGTACAGGCATGCCCGGTGAGGACAACTGCCTCAATGGCAGACCAGCCTCTTAACTCTTCCCCGGGCCCAGAATGGCCAGCCTAACGCCCGCGTGAATGTGGAAAAGAGAAAAACGCTGTGACACTGACCTGTGCGTGAGGCCTGGCTGTCTTCAGTGCCAAGGTTCCAGGAACTAAACGTCCACTCCCTGGAAGAAAAATGTAACACTTCAGTTGAGCAGCACGTGGCTAGAAATGTGGGTGTTCCTGCGGGCGTCTGCATGGAAGAGTCCCGTACTTATGATTAGTTAGACAACGGGAACAGTCATTTGGGGAGCTGTGCCTTTTGGTTACTCTGCCAGACACTGGGGACAGCACAAATAGGATGCTTCAAGATGCAGAGAGGGTAGATTTAAGAGGGCAATTAGAGATTTATGACATTATTTCTGATTAAGTTTCCACATTTTCCAAAACTAAATTGAATGAGAGGACAGGATGTTTATATGACCTTCTAGAGTTTATAAAAGATGCTCACTGGCATCCTTTGAACCTCATGGTCCCTTGGGAGGAAGAGAAGGAGACTGAGTCACCTCCTGCCCCAGGGTGCCCACAGGGTGACCAATTCACCCAGGTTGGCCTAAGGAGACATGAGGACTAAATGTAAGGTGGGATCTTGAATGGGGTCCTGGGACAGAAAGAGGGGAAACAAATTAAATTTGGAAGAAGAGTGGAGCTGAGCTCACAGGAATGTTCCCATGTCTGTCTCTTGGTTGTCACAAATGTATTGTGGTTATGGAAGATACGACCATTGGGAAAATGGGTGATAGGTAGATGGGAACTCACTGTAACGTCTATGAAACTATTCTGAAAATCTAAGACTATTCTAAAATAAAAAGTGCATTTAACAAAATATTAATAACTCAATAAAAACTTTTAAGTGCTGGTTCCATTCTCTGAGTTCAGGCTAATTCGTAGCCAGTAAAAGGCCAGGAGAATTGAGATCCCCACCATCACCTGCAGGTGGCGCCGTCATCCCAGGAACACCCCAAGCCCTTTGGGATCCCGGAGCTGCTAGAATATAACAGAGCAGGATCTGCTTTTCTCGCAGCCATTAGGAAAGGGGCTGCTGAGGCACCGAGGAGAGAGGCGCGCCCTGGAGGACCAGGATGGGCAGCAGTGGACAGCAAGGATGAGTGATGAAAGGGCTGGAGCAACATGCCCATGGGCCTGGAGGCCAAGATTTGCCTCAACCTTGCAGGATCTATGCATATGATCCTTCAAATGTTTATTTTTGAATCAAAAAAGACACAAGAAGTTGAAAAACTAGTAAAGAGGGGTCCCGGGCACCTTTCACCCAGTTCCCCAGGTAGTGGTTCCTTATGCAACTAAGGGCGGTTATCAAAACCAGGAAACAGTGACTGATAAACTAGGCATCATTTTTTTAGACAATTCTATTGAGATATAATTCTCATGCCACACAATTCAACCATCTTGAAGCACACAACTCAGTGGGTTTTAGTATATTCACAAAGTTGTGTGATCATCATCACAACCCATTTTAGGGTATTTCATCACCCCTAAAGGAGACCCCATCCCCATCAGCAGTCACCCCCATCCCCTGACAACTACTAACGCCCCTCCTGTATGTGGATGTGCGTGTTCTGGACATTTCACATAAGTGGAATCACACACTGCGTGGCCTTGTGTGTCTGGCTTCTCTCACTGAGCACCATGTGTTCAAGGTCCATCCACGTTGAGGCGAGTGTCAGCGCCTCCCTCCTTTTCATGGCTGAGTGACACTCCTGTGTGTGGATGGGCCACATAGTATTTATTCATCACCTGCTGATGGACACTTGGGCTGTTCCCACCTTTGGCTGTTGTGAATCATGCTGCTGTGATCATGGGTGTCTTATGAATCATTTTTAAGATGATTTTTCACTCCCTACCCTCACATCCACCAACTACAAATCTCCCTGTCCCCAGCCCTGTAACACCAGCTGCTAGCTGCTGTCCTTGAGCCCTTAACTTGGACTTGAGCAGTGAGGTGACACCACCGACCCCCACCCCTGCTCCAGCTGCACGCAGCCCAGACCAGCTTGGGCCGGAGCAGGAAGCGGTGTGGACAAAAACATCTCGGCAGCTCCGAACCCGGGGGCCAGGAGATGGCAGGTTGCAAGCCACACCAGCTGGCACCAGGCTGTCCCCATGACCTTCACCAGCTCTATCCTCCCAGACAAAACATTGGGCTTTCACCCCCCCCATCAGGATAGATCCCAACGCCCTGGAAGGATGAGCAGTGGAGTTGAGTAGGAGGTAGGACTCTCCATAGGACCTGCTACAGAATTTGCAAAGCCAGTGACAAAACGAAATGGTAGAACCCCTGGTTCAAAACTTCGTGCAAATTTTAAGATGGAGCCCTGGTGCTCGGGTGCCTGCTAACCCCACACAGACTGCCCTCAGGAACTGCCCTCGAGGCAGGGTAGACAGACCTCAGAAACAAGCAACGAACACTCCAGGTGGAAAGTGCCAGGTGCCGTGAGGGAGAATAAACCACGAGCAGAGACCGGCGTCATTTACAGCAGTGGTGATCAGGGATGCCTCACGGAGGACTCCCACCTACTCCTGTCATGGGCAGTGCTTCCTACCACCTCAGGCCTCACCTTGTCCACATGCCTTCTTTCTCTTTTTAAATTGAGAGATATATAATTCACATGCTAGAAAATTCACTCCTTTAAAGTATCCAATTCAGGGGCTTTTAGGATATTTACAAGGGTGTGCAACAATCACACTATGTAACCCTAGGCCACTGTCACTGCCTCCTGAAGAGACTCCGTGCCCATCAGCACGGCCTGGCTCCCAGCTGAGTGTCCCTGGATGGACGAGACCCCTGACGGCAGAATCTTGTGTCTTTTGCTCATCCTGGCAGTTCTAATAGCTCTCACAGAGCCCGTCCACAGGAGGGGCTCAGGAAGTCCTGAGATTGTGTCAAGGGACAGCCTGCGTTGCCGGAGGACCTGGGGGGGACCAGGCTGACCCCAGAGCTGGGTGAGGTTGGGCCTGTTCCCACCTGGAGCCCAGCCTGGGACTGTAACCTGGGAACCCCACTGTGGTTCTATGGGCAGGGCACAGGAAACGGTCAGCACAGGCTCAGCCTAGAGCCAGCCCTCAGCCAGCTCTGAGAAACGTAGGCCCCTGTTCTCAGCTGCAGTCTTCAGCTGTCATCTGTCACCTTGAACAAGGAACACAGAAACCACGATCTGAAACCAGGAGTGCTCTAGGGTATTCCTTCGTTCATTTCCTGGTGGTTTTGTTTTCCTCATAGTTCAGAAAGGGTGAGATAGATTTGTCAGTTTGTCAGCCTAATGGCTCCAAGTGGTGGGCAGTAGGCGGGAACAAGCAGCTGGACTCTTGCAACTGCCGAAAACAGGGTCATGAAACTGGCTTTTAGGGGGGTGGTGGGGTATCCCTGATAAGCTGCGACAGACGTGGAGGACTTGATTGCTCTGGACCCGTCAGAATCAATCCCCAGTAAGGAGCGGTGGGACTAGTCCCGACAGACACAGGACAGCACACCTGGGCAGGAAGCCAGCAAGTCGCAACCCACTTCTCTAGATCTGAGCTTCCAGAACTTTTTCAAAGGGTTTGTATAACCAACACATATCTGCAGAGGACTACTGTGTGCAATCGCTGCTGTCCCTCACTCTAGAATTTGGGAGTTCCCCAATGCTGACACGGGGGCCGGGTCTCTCTCTGTAGGGGGCCGGCCTGGGCACTGTGGGGGCTGAGGAGCGTCCCCGGCCCCACCCACTCAACGCCAGGGGCATCCCAAATCGTGACAACCACAGATGTCCCCAGATGTTGCCCAGTGTCCCCTGCAGGGTGGACTGCACTGCACTACAGCTTCCTGAAGCTTCTATTTGAGATTCTGTGTCCGTCTGGACACAAAAGCTCATGAGCTGCTGTCCCCTCTTGGAGGGCAAATCCCTTTTCAGACAGGACCCTGTTATCAAGCTCAGGGGCCGGGGGGAGGGGTGGGGCAAAGGGGCACTCACAGAGAATTTGGGGGCTGTGCAGGTGGGAATGTCATGTGACTTTAACATGTCAATCCCAAAGCCAGGGGCCCCTGGGCAGGTTTTGACACACATCTGAGACCCAGGATTGATTACACTCTCATGGAGCGGTAGAGAAGGGACATGCCGGCCTGTCATTCCCGTAGAATATAAATACATTTAAATTGTGTGTTCTCTACAGAGGGAGTTTGGTTCATGATGCAAGAGACAAGGAAGTCTTAGATATCACAAGGGTTGTGGCCCCCAGGGTCCCCAGCAATTGATAGATACGCAGGATCGGCATTATGAGAATTTCCTACAGGGTGGCTGATAAACACTAGTTTCTACTGAGGAAGAAAAAGAGCATTCTACACTAATTATATGGCAGGAGTCACTGGGCAAAGGTGACGGTGCCACATGACACTGTGGGGTCAGGTAGACGTGTGCTGAGTGCCAATGATGGCACCCGCAGGCTGTGTGTTTTGAAGTCCACTGGCTTTGTGTTCTCAGCTGTGTTCTCGTCTACTTGGGGGTGAGAAAAAAACTGAGATCTGACCACAAACACAAATCCTGCAGCACACAGTAGGTGCTCTGTGATAAGTGCTCCATTAACTCTGAACAAAAGGCACAGAAACAAACTTTGTTTCTGGCCTGTCTGGCACCCATGACCCGCCTCCTGGTGGTCATACCTTTGTCTAATCCCCTCCCCTGGAGTGTGCTAGGTCAGAGGGAGTGTCACTTCTGTCATTATGTTGCAGAAGAGTGTGACTTCTGCCTGGCTAACAGACTCAGCTGCCAGCTCAGCCTGCATGCTATGAGGGAACCATCAGCCAGGTTGGTGAGGTCTGTCCAGCCAGCAGCCAAGAACGAAGGCCCCAGAGGAACTGAATCTTGCCCATAGCCACGTGAGCTGAGGCGTGGCAACTGCCCTCGTTGAGCTTTCTGATGAGACCCCTGTCCCAGCTGACACCCTGACTGCAACCAGTGAGAGACCTTGAGCAGAGGTCCCAGCTAAACCAACACCCAGACTCCTGACCCACAGACATGGTGAGATACTAAATGTGTGTTGTTTTAGGCCACTACCTTTAGGGTGATTTGTTACACAGCACAAGGAAACTAATAATACAAGGGGAAACCATTTATCTAACTCATTCATACAGTAGAATAAAAGTATCTTAATACCTACTCAGTACACATGTGCCAGTCTCTGTGACAAGCATTTAACATACTTGTATGTCTGCTCATTTAGTTACAACAAACACCATCATTCACTCCCATGCCCATGCCATTGGTCTGTGGGTTTCTGAGGGGAACTCCCCTCCGCCAACATGGACTGTCAAATTCTCCGGTTTACCCTAGGATAGAAAATTATTTGTATGATTAATGAAAATAAAACACACTTTGTGAAGATATCTATATCTATCTACCTATCTATCAATGGATATAGGTATAGGTAGAGGGATATAGATATATTGTAGATATACCAATAGATATAGATATCTCCCTGAGGAGTATTTGTGTGTGTGTGTGTGTATGTGTGTGTGTATATATATATATATATATATATATATATATATATATATATACTGGAGGTGACAAAAAAATGTATACAAGTGGACACTTTGGTCAACATTGCTCAAGCAGTAGTTCGCAATAATCAGAAGTGTCTGGACGCTGATGAGCACCTCTTGTAATTGCAGAAGTCAAACATGACTTGTATTCATCTTTTGTTATCGGTATATATTGAGTATTACAATTTAAATACAGTTTCCTGGCCAGTGGGGTGGACTAAAAGTGGCCACCAATTTAAATAAATAAATAAATAAATAAATAAATAAATAAATAAATAAATAAATACAGTTTCCTTTCTTAAAACGTGTATATATTTTTTGGCACCCTCTGTATATTTCTTATGAATGAAGAAATTGAGTCAGAGAAAGGAAATAAACTGCTCAAGGTTGCATGTGAGCACAGTGGGACTTGACAGCCAGGCCAGACGGACCTCAGGCGTGAATTCCTAATCATTTCCCAATACTGGGCCTGCAGAAAACAAACATTATATAAAGGTGATAAGATGAACGAGAGCAGGGGTTGGCAAGCCCTGACCTTCTGCTTGCTTTTGTAATAAAGTTTTATTGGCACACAGCCATGCCGCTTCATTCATTAATCTTTTGCACTACAATGGAAGAGTTGAATAGTAGTGACAGATAGCATGTGGCCTGAAAAGCCAAATATTTAACTCTGACCTATACAGAGAGTTTGATGATCCTTGGATTCCATTCCAGAGGGCTTCAAATGCCCGAAAAGGGAAGTCCCAAAGTTTTCTGAGCAGACAGTGACATTGCAAAAACAACGTTGGTGGCTTTCATGTGCTGGAACCCTCTGGTGGTGGGGGGGGGGTCCACCCCCAAACATGAAGCAGTGTCACAATAATTGTTTAATTCCAGGTCTCCTGGAAATTACAAAATAATGGCACTTGCAATAAAAAGAAACACAAAGGCACATATGTATCGATACTGGCTCACCAGTTGTAACAAATGCGCCACACCAACACAAGATGGTGACAAGAGGCGGGGGGGCGGGAAATATGGGAACTCGGTGTACTGCCTACTCACTTTTTCTGTAAACCTAAAAGTACTCTAAAAAGTAGTCTATTGAAAGAGGGTTTTGGGCCGGCTGAGTGGCGCATTGGTTAAGAGTTGGCTTGGGACACCAGTTCTGAGCAGCAGGGCCCTGGTTCAGATCCCACATGAGGGCCAGTAACGCTGCGCCCTCTACAGCTAAGTTGGTGAACAACAGCTCAACCTGGAGCTGGGCTGCTGTGAGTTGCTGGCAACGGCGTAGGCTGCAGCATGTGCTGCAATGGGCTCTCATAAGCTACCATCAGCTGCCGGCAGCCGGTGTGAGCTGCCAAGCGCCGCCATTAGCGGCCCAGAGGCCGGTGACTGATCTGCCTCACCCGGGAAGAGCGCAAGGATCACAATACCAACATGGGCCAGTGAAGCGATGTCTTCCACAACTAGACTAAAGAACAAAAGGATAGCAACTTGTCTGTCCCCCTCCCCCAATTCCCCAATAAAATCTTTTTTTAAAAAAAAAGGTCTTGAAGAGATAAATTGGAAGTTACATCAAGAACCCAAAATTCTGGGCCAGCCGAGTGGCGCGTTGGTTAAGAGCTGGCCTGGAACGCCAGAGGACCCTGGTTCGGATCCCACATATGAGGGCCAGTGACACTGCCCTCTACAGCTAAGATGCTGAACAACAGCTCGACCTGGAGCTGGGCTGCTGTGAGTCGCTGGTGATGGCGTAGGTTGCAGCCCCTGCTGCAGTGGGTTGCCATAGGCTACTGTGTGTAGCCAGCAGCCAGCGTGAGCGGCCAGCAGCCGCTGTGAGCGGCCGTCCAGAAGCCGGCGACTGATCTGCCTCACCCGGGAAGAGCGCAATGATGGTGCCAACTTGGGCCAGTGAAGCAACGTCCTCAACAACTAGACTGAAGAACAAAAGGACAGCAACTTGTCTGTTCCCCTTCCCCCAATTCCCCAATAAAAATCTTTAAAAAAAAAAAGAACCCAAAATTCTGATTTTAGGAAGGAAGGAAATTAGGAAGGAGGGAGGGGAGAGCCTGTCTTAGACTAGATGATCCCTAAGTGCTCACATTTTACCAGCTCATTCTTTCTAATAGCTTTTATGATCAAGATCCAGAGAGAAGTCAGGTCAGTCCTGAACAAATGCATTTCCCACTTTTCCCCCTAATCCCCTACAAGTGTCCTAACAATATAATACTGTGAGGATCAGAATCTCCTGACTGCTCGGGCCTGGATTAACCAACACCAGAGCCCTCAAGTGGCACAGGGACCATGGAGGCCCAGGAGCAGATCAGAGAAGAGCCCTAACAGAATCATTGCACATGCCCTCCCGTGGATTACTCCCAAATTCCGTTTGGCCAATGGAAAGCACATGCTGGCCGGTGATGAGCTGCTTCTGCAAGATGGCACTGAGCAGGACACCACCTCTTCATCGTCTTGTTACCAACCAGGCTCTGCAGTCCCGCCCGACCCTCAACCTGTCCCTCCCATCTCCCAGCACAAAGCTCTCGGTGACACCCCCTCTTCCTTTTTCTGCCCCAACCCCATAAGAACACATGCCTCTCGTCCCGTGTCTGTCCTCCAAGCTTTGCGGGCATAAGGGTGCAAACAAACTGCCATTCTACCCAGAATGCCCCAGGAATGGCATGTGCTCAAAACACAAACTGCCAATTCTGGGCGAAATCACTAAACCCATCACTTCACACACCACTTCTTTGTGATGGCAGGTAGTGTACTCTTCTTTTTTTTAGGGACATTGGGCAAATAAATTAATGTCTCATTTGACTGATTTTCAGAGATAAGTTCACCTGCTGTGGTAGCCTGTACCCTGATATTCATGCCCTTGTGTGGTCTCCTCCCACTTTGTATCACAGTTGGTCTGTGTGATCAGTTGCATGTGGCAGAAGTGACAGTGTGTCACTTCTAAGACCAAGTCATAAAAGACATGTGGCTTCTTCCTCACTCTCTCTTGGATCACTGGAGAGGGGGTGAGGGGTTGCCACCACATTGTAAGGACACTCAGGTAGCACTGTGGAGGGGCCCCATGGGGGAGCTGAGGCCTCCTGCCAACAGCCATGTTGGGGAGCCATCCTGGAAGGGCCTCCTTCAGCCCTGGTCGAACCTTCAGATGAGGCAGCCCTGGTCGGCACGTGCTCTGCAAGCTTCTGAGAGTCTCTGAGCCAGAACCACCCAGTTAAGCTGCTTCCAAATTCCAAACCCAGAGAAGCCGTGGTGTAATAAATGCTTGCTGTTTAAACTATTGGGTTGTCGGAAAAGTCATGACGTATTTTTTCTCTGTTTTTCATTGCAAAAATACATCATGACTTTTCCGACAACCCAATAAGTTTGGGGTAATATGTTACACAGCATTAGACAACTGATACACCTGTAGCTGGGCTGATTCACCTGACATCTCCATGTGAATGTCTGGTCAACCATTACATGTTTCTGACAAGCACTGAACAGCACTGGCATTTTCATTTTCTTGTTTTCTCAGCTTCTATCACCCTGATAATCTCGGAAGACTCAAGAGCCTGAAAGGATGCAGTAAATTCAGTGAGGAGAGAGGGCCAGCTGAGTGGCTCAGTTGGTTAAGAGTTCGCCCAAGAGTGCGAGCTCTGAGCAACAGGGTCTCCGGTTCGATTCCCAGCCCGATCTGAGCTCCGCTGAGCTGCCAACAGGTGGCAGGATTGCTCAGCTAAAAAAAAAAAAAGAAAAAACATCAAAAAATTCAATGAGGAGAGGGTGGTAGAACAACTGGGCCAAGAAAGTGAAGGCTTGGGGATTTCACAAATTATCAAGATGTCAATGCCAGCATCGACCTTCTGAAACTGAACAAACCCACTGCCTCTGCCTGCTTCCCCCAAAGCCAGGTTCCTTCCCTTGGCACTGCTGACATGGGGCCAGGTCATTTCTGTGGGGGGCCGTCCTGGGCACTGGTGGGTGCTGAGCAGCACCCTTGGCCCCCACCCACTCAATGCCAGAAGCACCCCACTGGTGACAACCACAGAGGTCCCCAGACATGACCCAGTATCCCCTGGGGGAAGGATGGCCCCTGATGAGAACCCCTGCTCTAAGCAGGCCCCTCACGGCCAGGGACTGCCAAGAAGACAGCATTTGGTGATAGGCAGCTTTCCCCTGCCCAGGATGCAGATCCTGTCTGTGGAAGCCAAGTGGGTAGACCGGGGTGCCTGAGCCCCTTCCCTTCCCACACTGACATCCCACCTACATGTGGCAGGAGCGACTCCTCTCATTGGAGGCTCGATATAGAAACAGCGCTGTCTTTACGCACTCGCTGCAGCTATCACCTCAGCCTTCACTCATCACCACAGCAACCATCTAAATATGTCACCCTGATGAGCTCTGACTGCAAAGGAAGGGGGAGAAGTGTTGGGGACAGGGCAGAGACATGGTGCTCCAAAGACACATGCCTGATTGCAGACTCAGCCAAGAGTGACCCAGATCAGATGCCATCACACCCCTACCCAGGCAGGGCAAAAGGGCACTGGTGCTTGACCCCAGGGGTTAAAGGTCTCTGGGAGCCAAGTAGGACAAGGGCAAAGAATGCTGCTGCCCCCAGTTCTATGCTCTTGGTGCCTTAGAGGCCCGACCCTCCGCTATGTAACCCAGAGTGGGGGTGGGGAGGTCACCCTGGGTTACACTATCTGACCATCGAGATTTATTCCAGTGTCCAGTGTGAACAGGGATCAGTCTCAATTTTTTCCCAAATAATTA